AGAAGAGCAGTTAACAACCATCTCTCAGAAGAGCAGTTAACAACCATCTCTCAGAAGAGCAGTTAACAACCATCTCTCAGAAGAGCAGTTAACAACCATCTCTCAGAAGAGCAGTTAACAACCATCTCTCAGAAGGGCAGTTAACAACCATCTCTCAGAAGAGCAGTTAACAACCATCTCTCAGAAGGGCAGTTAACAACCATCTCTCAGAAGAGCAGTTAACAACCATCTCTCAGAAGAGCAGTTAACAACCATCTCTCAGAAGAGCAGTTAACAACCATCTCTCAGAAGAGCAGTTAACAACCATCTCTCAGAAGAGCAGTTAACAACCATCTCTCAGAAGGGCAGTTAACAACCATCTCTCAGAAGGGCAGTTAACAACCATCTCTCAGAAGAGCAGTTAACAACCATCTCTCAGAAGGGCAGTTAACAACCATCTCTCAGAAGGGCAGTTAACAACCATCTCTCAGATCTCTTCTCAGTGGTGTTGACGGATCACTTCATCCTCAGTGTTGATGAATCACCTGATCCTTAAAGTGGTGTTGGCGGATCAGCGATGACTATGGCTAGGAGCCAAAAGTTTGAGAGACAGTATAAGTGATGTGTACAAGTGTCTGGGTACACTCATATCACTTAACTTCACACTAACTACGCAGGCAATAATGAAAACAACAAGAGTGGACGAGAGACCTACCTACCATGAGTCGGTTGCACTCCAGCAGAGCTCCACTACTTACGCTCTTACCTGGAGTCTACCTAAAGGGTATTCCGGGGATCAAGGTCCCCCCGGCCCGGTCCATGACCAGGTCTCCCGGTGATTCAGGGCCTGATCAACCAGGCTGTTACTGCTGGCCGCACGTAGTCCAACGTACGAACCGCAGCCCGGCTGATCTGGTACTGACTTTAGGTATCTGTCCAGCTCCCTCTTGAAGACAACAAGAGGTCTATTGGTAATTTCCCTTGTACATGGTGGGAGGTTATTGAACAATCTTGGGCCCCGGACACTTACTGCGTTTTCTCTTAATGTACTAATGGCGCCCCTACTTTTCATTGGGGGTACGTTGCATCGCCTGCCAAGTCCTTTGCTTTCGTAGGGAGTGATTTCTGTGTACAGATTAGGGACCAGTCTCTCTAGGATTTTCCAGGTTTAGATTATGACGTCTCTCTCTCGCCTGCGCTCCAGTGAGTACAAGTGCGCCCAGGCGTTTGATGGAACTTACATGTGCAGTAAAGGTTCTCTGTGCATTCTCTAGATCTGCAATTTAACCTGCCTTGAATGGGGATGTTAATGTACAGCAGTATTCTAGCCTAGAGATAACAAGTGATTTAAAAAGGATCATTGGTTTGACATCTCTGGTCTTGAACGTTCTCATTATCCATCTTATCATGTGTAATAATACGGATAATAATGAAACTGTAGATAAAAAGGAAATACCAATAAAGAGTACAAGATTACCGCCTCATGTCAACAATGCAGGGAGTGAGAGTAAGGAACGAGAGATTAACGAATAGCAAGAACGGGAGGGTACAAAGAAATTACGGGGTAGGAGAAATATTACAGCCGGTTACAAAGAGAAAACAATTTACAAAAATTTAAGAGCGAATTAAGTTTACGAGGCTAAGAAAGGGCACAGCGACTGTGTCAACTACAATAGGGCTGCAGAAGGCGAAACTTGTGAGAACGAATAAAAATAAAATGGTGAAGAGTAGAGATTGATGAGCAAGATTTACATGTTGCAGGCTGGTGTAGCAACTGCAAGAAAAGACACTGAAATGTGTGACGGAAGGAATAAACATTCCAGCATTGTACTTCACAGTGAAATAGTACAAGCACAAAACTGATACCACCAACAGCTGGGAACAATGTGAATATGACAATGGTATACAGTACCGACAAGTTGATAAGACATGTGCAACAGTTAGGAATCTTTATTCCGAAACGTTTCGCCTACAGTCGAATACAGAGAAGGCAGAAGAAGCAATAGAGATGTAAGGACGATGTAATCAGTCCATCACCCTCAAACGCGTAGTTTTGAGGTGGTCAGTCCCTCAGCCTAGAGAAGAGTTCTGCTCCATAGTCTGGAACAAGGTGAAGATGAAGCAACAGTACGGAGACATGATCTCTGCATCTGCTGCTGCCTTTGTACTCGACTGAAGAAGCCTACTGTGTAGACGAAACATTTCAGAATAAAGATACCTAACTGTTGCACACATGTCTTAACAGATGGGAATTAATCTAAGTTGTAACTAAAGCTCGGAGTCTTAATATCCACGATTTGCTGCAAATACATTATTTATATAGTATAATGTTACTGTAATATTTAATCAACCAAGGAAAGTTAATATCGTGAACGACTTGCCTAGTACCACATACCCCGCTACACCACAACATTCGCATATGCTAGACACCACCGTCTACTATCATTATTACTCATGCATACACCTGAAACAGGTGCTGGCACCAGCAGCACGACGGGCGGTAACCTTGGGGTGTGCTAGACACAGGTGTGCTGGCGGAGGGGTGCTGCATGGTAGTGGTGCGACGTTTGCCCTGTATCCTTACCAGTGATGTCTGACAAATTTTGAGGGCCTTTTCAACCCCCAACATCAAACATCAGTGAGCACACTCAGAACATCAATACAAGTCACCAGCATCACCAGGCTGACGAAGGTGAAACAAAGTTCAAGAAATATGGTGAGAGTTTCGTAATGTATGATCCTTCTTGATACCAGTGACTCTGACACCAGCTGTCTGACTAATGTCTCGTCTACCTCACACCAGCTGCATTGACTAATGCTGACACCTACTGACTTTTAGACTTAGGATCGATCAAACTGCCACAATTGTTCAAAAAAATATATTTTCTAAACCTAAGTTAGTAACCTCGGCTAATCTTGGTAAATAAACGTAATGTAAGTTGATCCTTACTATAATGACCGAGGTCAGCCTTCAGTAACTGGTGTTACCATCCATCAGTGTAATGTATTAATTTCCAAGTCGTTTGGCGGATTTTCATGGGTATTGTAATGACGAAATTATATTTTGCTCGTATGTAATAAACAAATTGCAGTAATGGGAAACTGTTTAGATAACGTTTCGCCCGTACACATTCAGATCAGTAGAGTATATCCAGGGAAAGATTGTGTGTAATCTCCCTACACTCATCTCCTGTCGTAACAATGGTTGTCCTGAGTCAAAGTTGTGAGGTGTATCTTAACAGCACATGTACGCCAAGGGTCGTATTGTTTGTGTACCAGCAAGGGTCGTATTGTTGTCCCGTTCACCTAACAAGCAAGTAGGCACCCCCCCCCTCAAGGAAGATTCCTTGACGCTGGTGAGGGGCTCTTGATAAAGGGAATTGGATGTGTGCTCCAGTTCCCTGAATGCCTTCCACATCCTCCCCCACAGGCGCTGTATAATCCTACGGATTTAGCGCTTCCCCTTGATAATAATAATAATGCAAAGTAGGTACCTGGGTGTTAGTCGACTGGTGTGGGTCGCATCCTGGGGGACAAGATTGAGGACCCCAATGGGAATAAGACAATCCCTCTATGACGCACTACCTTTCTTGAGTATTCCTGAATGGCTAACCCTCTGGGGTTAAAAATCCGAACGAAATCTTATCTTAATGCAGTTTTTAAACGTTACCAACCAACTAGTTCCAGTAATGCAATTTTGATCCCTCCAGTAACTCAACCCAGGAAGTGAATCAGTCACCACGGTTACTGTTCAGAGGTTTAAGCTAAATTTTGGCGAATTAACCAGCCAGTTTTTTTTTTTTTTAGATACAAACCTCTTCTACACATAGTAACTATATTTTGTGTGGATAAATGGTTCAGAGAACCGACACTTGGGCAACACTTGCGTGTCCTTATTGTGGAAACGTTTCACCACAGTGGCTTCCTCAGTCCAGTCCAGAGAAGAATGGTTGATGTTTAACCATTCTTCTCAGTACTGGACTGAAGCCACTGTGTGGCCAAATGTTTCACAATAAAGATACCCAAGTGTTGCATGAGTGTCTAATTTACTGTCTTTTATAAACGCTAGTAGGTCACTTACCACTGGTAAGAGACATAGTATAGATATAGGAAGTAGTGTCCTGATACCAGTTTCTGGGGATGATTCGTCTCAAAATGAACAACAGGAAATGCCTTAGAAATCAGGACCGTAATTTAGTTTGTCTTCCTGTAGTTCATGTAGCGTGCGCTCGATGTCCAACTGGCGTGAGGTAGACAAGGCAGTATTAGTCAGAGCAGCTGTCAGCATTTGTTGGTGCAGCTGGCGTGAGGTAGACAAGACAGTATTAGTCAGCAGGTGTCAGCATTAGTCAGTGCAGCTAGTGTGAGGTAGACAGTATACTCTACTGATCTGAATGTGTACGGGCGAAACGTTATCTAAACAGTTTCCCATTACTGCAATTTGTTTATTACATACGAGCAAAATATAATTTCGTCATTACAATACCCATGAAAATCCGCCAAACGACTTGGAAATTAATACATTACACTGATGGATGGTAACACCAGTTACTGGAGGCTGACCTCGGTCATTATAGTAAGGATCAACTTACATTACGTTTATTTACCAAGATTAGCCGAGGTTACTAACTTAGGTTTAGAAAATATATTTTTTTGAACAATTGTGGCAGTTTGATCGATCCTAAGTCTAAAAGTATATATATATATATATAAAGTATGTATGTATATATTTTACACACACATACACGCCTGTAGAATTGTCTCCTAGCGTATTTACACAATGAGGTGTATATCTATCTTTTATATATATATATATATATATATATATATATATATATATATATATATATATATATATATATATATATATATATATACATATATATACCAAGAATAGACTTAAATCCCTACCTTAGGGATTAAAGTATTTTTGACTGGTGATGAACAGGTTACACGAAGTCTTAATGAGCCTCATGAGGTTGACAGGGCTTAAAACCTCATTAATCACTCAGACAACTTACCTGGTGTGTTGTAGATCACTATGTTGTCCCAGGTTAAACGTTCCCACTCACCAGCGTCAGTAATGACTCAGATATCCGTTAAAAGCAGTTAAACTATTCAAAAACACTATACTCAACGACATGTACAGTTTCTTCGATCATATCAGTTCACGCGCACACTCGTTAATCCACTACAAACAAACGTTGAACACAAAGTTTCATCCCTTCACGGAAGGAAGAGTCAACAAAAGAAGGTTGTCTCACAGGAGGGTGAGGAGCGAGGCAGTGATGTGTTCACTCCACGACTACCGCAGACACAGTGACGGCAGCCACGCAGGTGGTGTCTGCTGCTGTTGCTGTTCCTGCTGTTGTTGTTGATGGAAGGGTTAGTTGGGGTGGGCGGGGGAGGAAGATCCGGTGCCTGGGGCTTCATGAAGACGAGAGAGGTTGAAAAGTAGCACTAGAGGTGACCTCTAGCGCACTGGGAGAAGTATTAGACTCGCAACCTTAAGGACCTGATTTGATTCTAGGGTGTGTCAGCACATATAGGCAAGTCTTTGCTCGACAACCAGTAAATAAGTACCTGAGTGTTTGTTGGCTGTTGTGGGTGGCAGCCTACGATGGTAGACTAGATGTAGAATGAATTGAAATGATATGGGAGCAGGAGAAATAGGGAAGAACCCTCAAGGAAAGTTTATTGATGTAGTGGTTCAGTAGTTGTGACAAGTATGATCTCCCACCTCAAAATCCATGCTGTTTGGGTTGTGCAGGTTGTGTTGCTTCGTAAAGTTAATAATTTGGTGTCTCGTCACCTTTTTTAAGATTTTTATATGGGATGTTAGGCTACTGGTCTATAATTTTTAGTTACCGCTCTACTACCTCCGTTATGCATAGCAGCTATTTCTACACTCCTCATGGCCTCTGGGATTTCACCCAGAGTTAAGCTCTTTCTTCAATTACATGATGAATGCTCGTGCCAGCGGCATTTCGCAATTCTCTGTAAATAAGGAATCCCGTGAATCAGGTCCAGGTGATGCACGATTGGTTACATCAATTTCTTTTTCAAATTCTGCGCATAGTGCTTGTGATAAATAAACTATTTCTACACAGTGAGGCTTACAGCTGATTCGTACACGGGGACATTATTAACATACTCTACAGAAAGCCCCTGGTTATGCAGAGTAATAGGGGCAGCCTTAAAATAAACCTATAATAACTACTTATATCTTATAACTGCTACTGTCAGCTATACGATGTCTGGCCTTCACTGGTAACAAAAAAATCTTTAGTTCTCCATCCGGCTTTCGTATCGATTCTTATTGGTATTATGAGGGGAGATACGTGCAACAATGATAATTGAAAAACAATGTAAGTTATAATGGAGGAGTAAAAAAACAGTGATAATGGAGAACGACAGATAAGTGATTATGAAGGTAGATGGTGGAGGAAGAAGATAAGGAAAGGGAGAAAGAAGAGAACACGAAGTGTTGAATGATGACACAAGAGGAGTGAAGAAAAGTGTGTTAACCTGAGCCAGAGTGGCACACAACCCACACTGTTGCCACTACACCGTGTGTATAACAACACACCCCGTGGTCTCTACACCGTGTGTATAACACAACACACCCCGTGGTCTCTACACCGTGTGTATAACACAACACACCCCGTGGTCTCTACACCGTGTGTATAACACACCCCGTGGTCTCTACACCGTGTGTATAACACACCCCGTGGTCTCTACACCGTGTGTATAACACAACACACCCCGTGGTCTCTACACCGTGTGTATAACACAACACACCCCGTGGTCTCCTCACAACCGGTTTTATAACACAACCCCGTGGTCTCTACACCGTGTGTATAACACATCCCGTGGTCTCTACACCGTGTGTATAACACACCCCGTGGTCTCTACACCGTGTGTATAGCAACACACCCCGTGGTCTCTACACCGTGTGTATAACACTGTTGTCTCTACACCGTGTGTATAACACACCCCGTGGTCTCTACACCGTGTGTATAACACAACCACACCCCGTGGTCTCTACAAACCCTGTTGTATAACACACCCCCGTGGTCTTCTACACGGGTGTATAACACAACACACCCCGTGGTCTCTACACCGTGTGTATAACACAACACACCCCGTGGTCTCTACGCCGTGTGTATAACACACACCCCGTGGTCTCTACACCGTGTGTATAACACACCCCGTGGTCTCTACACCGTGTGTATAACACAACACACCCCGTGGTCTCTACACCGTGTGTATAACACACCCCCGTGGTCTCTAAAACCGGGGTGTAAGCAACACACCCCGTGGCCTCTAAAACCGTGTGTATAACACTGTTGCCCTCAAACACCGTGTGTATAACACGTGGTCTCTACACCGAGCGTATAACCCCTGTCTCTAAAACCGTGTGTAAACACTGTGGCCCTCTACACCGTGTGTATAACACTGAGGTCTCTACACCGTGTGTATAACACTGTGGTCTCTACACCGTGTAACACTGTGGTCACTACACCGTGTGTATAACACTGTGGTCTCTACACCGTGTGTATAACACTGTGGTCTCTACACCGTGTATATAACAATGTGGTCTCTACACCGTGTGTATAACACTGTGGTCTCTACACCGTGTAACACTGTGGTCTCTACACCGTGTATATAACAATGTGGTCTCTACACCGTGTATATAACAATGTGGTCTCTACACCGTGTGTATAACACTGTGGTCTCTACACCGTGTATATAAAAATGTGGTCTCTACACCGTGTGTATAACACTGTGGTCTCTACACCGTGTGTGTAACACTGTGGTCTCTACACCGTGTATATAACAATGTGGTCTCTACACCGTGTGTATAACACTTGATAACAGTTCACATCTATCAAACTAGCTTTATTTATAATGAATCTATATATGAAGAGACCAATGTATTTACTCTCTTCTCTCTCTTTCTCTCTCTCTCATTAACTGCTCACTTCCTGTGCATCTTGGTTCTGAACGTGACCTGACCTGACCCTGAGCTTCCTCTCACCCACTTCCTTCCTTCTATCTTCCTTCCTCCCTCCCTCCCTTCCCCATTTATTGCCCACATACTCCCTACCATTCCCTCTCTCTCACACCCTCTTTCATGCTGCCTTCCACACCCCAGCCCACCCTCCCTTCCACCTGCTACACCTCCCTTCCACACCAGCTACACCTTCCTCCCACACTTCCCTCCCACACCTTCATTCATCTTGGCAACTTTCTCAACAAACATTACAACAATAACGCAGTACGTTCTCTCGTCAGGATATCAACGAGTGGAAAAACAACGATAATTGTTAAACAAAGGAAGGAAGAAGCTAATGAAAAGGAAGGGAGCGGGAGGATGATATAAACGGGATTATAACAGTGTGTGCGATATAGGAACCTATTCAGTTCCCTTTCGTAAGTGGTTTATTGGTAATCGCCCTTATGTATGACTGGAGGCTCTTGAGCAGTCTTGGTTCCCTGTCACTTGTGTTCTCTCTGCTTTTCACTGGTGGTATATTGCACCGTCTGCCAAGTCTTTTGTTTTCCTAGGTAGTGATTTCTGTGTGCAGATCTGGGAAGAGTCCGGTGTAAATTTAATGCATTTTTCTCGCCTATGTTCCAAGAAGGACAGGTCAAGGAACTTCAAATGTTCCCAGTAATTAAGGTGGTTGACTGAACACATAAGTGCAGTGAAGTATTTCTGTAGTCTCCAAATCTGCAATTTCACCTGCCTTGAAAGGGGTTGTTAGTGTACAGCAGTATTCCAGCCTAGAGAGAACAAGTGACTTAAATGGCTTGGGATCCCTTGTCTTGAAGGTTCTCATTATCCATCCTATCATTTTCCTTGCAGTGGTGATAATGACACTCGTGTGATCCTTCACAGTGAAATCCTCTGACATTTCTCTTAAGTCCTTCACGTTATTTTTTCACTCTACTATGTGGTTAGAATTTGTTTTATACTCTTTTCTAGTATTTATTTCCTCAAGTTTTTCATAACTGAGTAACTGAAATTTATTCTCATTGAACATCATATTGTTTTCTGTTAGTTCACTGGAAGACTTGGTTTATACCCGCTTAGAGATTTACCATGTCCTCAGCGGATGACAGTCTCATGCAGATTTTAGTATCGTCTGCAAAAGATGATACAGTGCTATTATTTATGTCTCTTTGTCAGATATGAGGTTGAATAAAAGGTTGGAGGGAGTACTATGCCTTATGGACACAAATTTTCACTGTGGCAGTCTCTGACTTAACTCTGTTTATTACTCTTTGCATTTTATTGATTAGAAAGTTAATAACAATCTACCTACTTTTCCAGGTATTCTTTTTCCATGAATTTTGTGCGTTATTACACCATGAACGCACTTTCTGCACTCTGTCATCCAGTGCCTCCAAGACCATGTTATAGTGGTCCAGTAGTTGTGACAAGCAGCAGCGACCTGCTTTAAACCCATGTTGCTCTTGGTTGTGCAACTGTTGAGAATCCAAGTGGTTGGCGATCTGGCTTCTCAGAACTATTTCAAAGATTTTATCCATAGAATATGAATTAAAGGCATATGATAGGGATTTTTTGCAGTTCTTAATGAACACGGAGTTCCATGGGTCTGGGCCTCTGGCAGAGTGCATGGCCATGTTATCAACGATTTTTTCCAAGTCCAGCTGTGTAAGAGTTGTCAGAAATTTTGCATATATTGAGGAGGTTTTGAATCTTATTTATGAAGGAACTGTTCAGATTGTCGACCTTTAATCTGATTAACAACTTACTAAATACAGTCATATTGAGACATCAGTATTTCACTTATTTCATTGTTGAACATTAAAATGGTATAAAATACCGACAGGTTGTTAGGTAAGACACATATGCAACAGTTAGGTATCTTTATTATGAAACGTTTCGCCTACACAGTAGGCTTCTTCAGTCAAGTACAGAAAAGTTGATAGAAGCAGAAGATACTTGAAGACGATGTAATCAGTCCATCACCCTTAAAGTTTTGAGGTGGTCAGTCCCTCAGTCTGGAGAAGAGCATTGTTCCATAGTATGAAGAGCATTGTTCCATAGTTTCATACTATGGAACAATGCTCTTCTCCAGACTGAGGGACTGACCACCTCAAAACTTTAAGGGTGATGGACTGATTACATCGTCTTCAAGTATCTTCTGCTTCTATCAACTTTTCTGTACTTGACTGAAGAAGCCTACTGTGTAGGCGAAACGTTTCATAATAAAGATACCTAACTGTTGCATATGTGTCTTACCATTTCAGTGTTGTCATCAACACAGGTTTCATCTTATTTAAGCAAGAACCTGATACAGAATGTGGTTTTG